GTGGGGGGTGGGGTAAATGCTTTGTGATTTGTAAATGCCACGTGTCATCCATCAAGATGGGTCTCATAAGCTAGCCCGTGAGACCTGGTCTCATATAATTCTTTTCCCCAAGTGAGCTAGCTAGGGTCACTTCCTTTTTCTCTTTCCTATGGATAGCTGGCATGTCAATCATTAAGAATTTGGCTCCTCCCATTGTGTGAAAACCATCTGTGGACTAAGTTTTCAAATTATAAATTCTCTGAGTAAGTAATTTTTGTTGAGCTTGGTTTTTGGTCTTCCCTTTTTTTTGGCTGCACTTTTCTCATGGCATGGGCTGAAAGAGAATAGATGTTCTGTCATGGCTGTTAACATAATACATGATCGATATGCATGACCATTAAGAGTAAATGCAGATTTATTCTTCCATTTGTGATTTTAAAAGATTTCATGAACTGACGGTGAATACATGTATCCGCTAGGAATGGGCACATAAGCAATATGTTGCAAAACACCAACAATGGGCGTCTCAACAGTGGGGAAATTTTTACTACTACAGGATGCAGAATATCAGGTCTGTGATTTGATTTGATGAGTTATACTCTTCCATCATTTCAGGTTGATGAATCCATTTACCGTTTACACAGATGCACATCCCTTCTCCCTTCCATTACTCATAGATGCTTGTGTAACTTATGATTTGTGACAAACTATTTGCGGTAACCACAGCGACATATATTTTATTGGAGGCTTTGGCACTGTTGCATGGGTAGATGTGAAACAGTATGAAACTATTCAACCTGACAAGATAGCAGTTGACGGCGGCGAACAAAGCTTAAAGGTAAACTATGAATGCCATTATCAGCAGATTAGCTGGATCATCATATTAGTCATGTGCCCGTACATGTAATATGTGAGTACAGTAAAACGTCGACCACTTTTGATGGATGCTCTGCATGTAGGAGTTGAACGCTATTTTCTCTAAACCACTTAGAGAGTTCATGTCTGCTGAAGGGGAGGTTGACGATGCTGCTCTTATATCCGTAGACAGCAAAGGGATAGACATTCGGGTTCGCCAGGGTGCACAGGTAAACTTTATTCAGATTGCCGTCACTAGTAGAGACGCTATTCTCTGAGGAAGAAAATCTTCTCTCCACTGCCTTCAGTTTGCAATTTATTCTGTGCAGTTCAACATCCAGAGACTTGCATTTGATGTACCATACAAGGTGGAGACTCTAGAGGAGGCCAAGAGAGCACTCCATAAGATAATCAAGACAAGCAGCAAATAAGCCGAAGCGCACACGACCTGCACTTGGTTTCACCAGCCCTACAAGCCCACGCCGTGAGTCGACAAAAATAACCAAGGATATGTAATCTAGCGTACACAGACGCAAAATAAGATGATTTCTCTTTAATAATGAGAAACTCCCTGGCAAGTCCCCATATAGTGTGTACCCATATGCTTGTATCGCTTGAACTGTAGTGAAGCTATGTTGTGCAGCCTGTGCTTGTGGAAGCCGGACGCTTTTGTCGGACAAGCTAGTTGTTGGTTTCTGTGTCCCGGCATAGTTTATTTTGACTATGATATGAAGCATCAGCATCTGGACTCAACTGGTACAAGTTTGAATGTGCCTGTGATGATTTTGACGCTAAATTGTGAAGTATTTTTCTTGCCATGTCGTTCAGTTGCGTACTCCTGGAACTGGATTTATGGTGCAAAATGCAGGTACTTTTGTGGACGTGCAGTGTTTTTATTTTGGAAACTCGGCCCCTGAGGCCTTGTACAATGCAAGGTGCTTAGAGGAGGTGTTTCGAAAAATAAATCAGGTTTTTCTTAAGCACCGATGCTTATTTATATATGATAGACGCTTAATTAGGCATCTCTCGCACCGGTGCTTTAGAAAAACCGCCTTATTTTTCTAAGCACCTCGCTAAGAGCCTAGCATTGCATAAGGCCCGAGGATCTCGATTCTTAAAAAAGAAGAATAGAGTTGCCCGGTTAATTAGCAGAAAACCAAGCGAAAACTGTTACAACACGCCTGCAAAGAGGGCATTCCAACCGACATGGCACCCACAGGACCCAAACTTACCGTTGAGATTGTCTACAATGTCATTGTCATCACCTCTTCTCCAGCAAGCGACTCCGACTTTGATGCTGCCGACCCTTTCGAATGAATGAGCCATGGAACCACCTTTACTCCAGCAAGCGACTTCGACTTCGACGCCACCGACCCTTCCAAACGAACTGCCGACCCTTTCGAATGAATGAGCCATGGAACCACCTTTACTCCAGCAAGCGACTTCGACTTCGACGCCACCGACCCTTCCGAACGAACGAGGCACGGAACCTTGCCGACCAAAGCCAAACAATCGCTTGGCTACGTCGAGGACCAGACATCTCCGACTTTGATAACAAGCCTCACAGGAGAAAAGGAGCATGCCTGGCACCTACAAAGTCCAGACTGCCAATCGCCTAGCATTGTTGTCGCCACGTAGCCCTACAACGTCGCAGTTCTGACTTCATGCTCATGAACCAGTCGACTGTTAACGACGAAGGCACGCCACGACCCTGCACATCTCGCCACCATCATCGCCGCCACACAAGTCGCAACTCCAACCACCGACACCGCTGATCGGACACCTGTCGCCCGCGATGTCGTGCACGTCCATCCTACAAGCAGCGCCAATAGGACCATGATCTTCAAGACTATGCCCCAGAGAGGGATCACGATGATGGAGACGCTGCCGCCGCCCGATCCAACGGATCTAGACTTTTGCCTGAAGATCTTGCCCATGAGTTTGAGTTGAGGAAGCTTTGAGCTCCCAGAAAACGCCTCCAAGAAGTACATTGACGCCCACGGGCGCCGCCGCCGCCGGCCATCACTTGCCAGGCCTTCGCCCTGAGCCCCTGAGAGGCGTGGCCACCAACCTCACACAGGTGCCGCCACTGGCCCGCACACCCCGAGCACAACAAGCACATCAACCACATTGGGCGACCTCCATCCTCACCGCCTGCAAAGGTGAGCCAACCAACCGACTAGATCAGTCGCCCACCCTACTGCACTTCCATGGAGCCGCTGCACATCATCACCACACGGCTCGCCGAATAACACATCCCGGCTGAGCCGACCGTCCCACGAACGCGCGCGAACCCGATTTGGACCGCACCGGCCAGGTTTGGTGAGTCGCGATCTCTAATTCGAGCCCCCACCCAAGAGAGCCCGCACGGGAAGGGGAAGGGGGTTGCCACCCCGCCTTGACCTGCCGCTGGAGAAGAAGCATCGACGACGACGCCAGCCGCCACGCAGCGCAGCAAAGGGGCCAAGCCTCCCCCACCACATGCTTACATGCTACTTCTTGAGCTTGCGTTAATTTTTCCTTGAAGAGGAAAGGATGATGGAGCAAAGCAGAAATAAGTATTTCTCTCAGTTAAGAACCAACGTATCAATCCAGTAGGAGGTACAAGCAAGTCCCCAATATATGCACCTGCACAAACTAACAAATACTTGCACACAACGCGAAAAATGGGTTGTCAATCCCTTCACGGTCACTTGCAAGAGTGAGATCTAATAGAGATAGATATAAAAAATCAGTAAAAGGAAAAATAAAGTAAATATAAATAAATTGCAGCAAGGTATTTTATAGATCTGAAAATATGTGATGAAAATAGACCCCGGGGCATAGATTTCACTAGAGGCTTCTCTCTTGAAAGAACACATACGATGTGTGAACAAATTACTGTAATTGATAGAAAAGCATAAAGTTATGACGATATCTAAGGCAATGATCATGAATATAGGCATCACGTCCATAACAAGTAGACCGAAACGATTCTGCATCTACTACTATTACTCCACACATCGATCGCTATCTAGCATGCATCTAGTGTATTAAATTAACAAGAACAGAGTAACGCCTTAAGCAAGATGGCATGCTGTATATGGATAGATCCAATCAATATGATAAAACCCCCATCTTTTTATCCTTAATGGCAAAACCAACTTCTTGAGCTTGCGTTGGTTTTTCCCTTGAAGAGGAAAGGATGATGCAGCAAAGTAGAGATAAGTATTTCCCTCAGTTTGAGAACCAATGTATCAATCCAGTAGGAGACAACGCACAAGTCACCGAATACCTGCACAAACAATCAAACAACTTGCACCCAACGCGATAAAGGGGTTGTCAATCCCTTCACGGTTACTTGCAAACGTGAGATCTGATAGAGATAGATAAACGGTAAAGTAAATATTTTGGGCAATTTTGGTTTATAGATCGGAAAGTAAAAGATTGCAAAAGAGTAAATCGGAAACTAATACTGTAGATCGGAAACTTATATGATGGAAAATAGACCCCGGGGCTATAGGTTTCACTAGAGGCTTCTCTCAAGATAGTAAATAATACGGTGGGTGAACAAATTACTGCCGAGCAATTGATAGAAAAGCGCAAAGTTATGATGATATCTAAGGCAATGATCATGAATATAGGCATCACGTCTGTGACAAGTAGACCTAAACAATTCTGCATCTACTACTATTACTCCACACATCGACCGATATCCAACATGCATCTAGTGTATTAAATTAACAAGAACGGAGTAACGCCTTAAGCAAGATGACATGTGTAGATGGATAGATCCAATCAATATGGTAAAAAAACCATCTTTTTATACTTAATGGCAAAAATGCAAATCCGTGCCTCGCTACCCCTACTATCATTGGGTGAGGACACCATAAGATTGAACCCATCACAAAGCACCTCTTCCATTACAAGAAAAACCAATCTAGTTGGCCAAATCAAATCGATAGATCGGAGTGAAATACTAAGCTATCTTAATCATGCATAAAAGAGTTTAGAGAAGACTCAAATAATATTCATAAATAATCTGATCATAAATCCACAATTCATCGGATCTCAACAAATGCACCGCAAAAGAAGATTACATCGAATAGATCTCCAAGAACATCGAGGAGAACATTATATTGAAGATCAAAGAGAGAGAAGATGTAACGCCCCGAGACCGTTGTGCCAGGTGTCTCCCAGTTATTCGCTGTCGTTGCCATGTCTTTTGCTTGCGTCTTGCATTTCATCATGTCATCATGTGCATTGCATCGTCATGTTTTTGAAACTTGCATCCGTCCGGGTCTTCCGGTTCTCTCCGTGTCCGTTCTAAGCCCAACCACACTCACACGCGCCCGTGGCATGTCCGAAATAGTATTTTATAAGTGGCCGGAAAATGTTCTCGGAATGGGATGAGAGTTGGCGTGCGGTCTTGTTATAGTGTAGGTAGACCGCTTGCCAAGTTTCATCGCAATCGGAGTCCGTTTGATGCCCCCAACAGATATTTATAGCGGCAATATAGCCGGTCTAACGTCGGACGTTTTCGGTCTCCGGAAACAGTCACCGGGGCTCTCTCTCTTCTTTTCTCTCAGCTCGAGACCGTCTATGCAGTCTACCTCTCACCGCCAGGCCCTACTTGACCTCTCTCGTCAGTCCGCGGACCTCCTCCCGCGCGCGTCCGAAATCTGTCCCGGACCCGACCTGGCAGTCGTTACCGCTGTGTCCGGATCATCCCCTAACATCTACAAAACATCAACGTTTTCTTATTTGGACTCCTCTAACCTTTTATTCTCGGTTGTCCATTTACGATCGGAGGGTTCCGTTAGCCCCTAAACTCTCCCTCTTTCCTTATATATATATACACACTCCCTAGTCTAAATCTAGACCAAACCCTAGAAACTAGGGATCTTGTCCCATCCTCCGCCGCCGCCAGCCCACTATCTCCTCCTCCTTGGGATCCCCTCCCGATCCAAGACCACCAACCATCGCTCTTCTGCTCCTCCTTGATCCGAGCATGCACCCGATCCAATCCTTTTAGCCTCCACCAACCACTGATTCCATCCAACCAGCAGCCTCCACCTCCTCCCTTCGAACCATCCTCGCGCCTGCCTCCAGATCGAGCAGGAAGCTTGTTCCCGGCCTCTTCCCCATCACCTACTGCAGTCGCTCGCTGCTCCGGCAGGCCACCGAAGCCAGCCAGCGCTGGATCTCTTCCTCCTGACCTCCTCTTCCCCTGCTTCTTCCTTCTCCTCCCCATCCCTGTCTTTCTCGCATGCTCGCTCTCTCCAGTTGCAGGAACGATGCCATGGCCGCCGCCTCGAGTACCTGCCACTGCCGGAGTCCCTGTCGCTATCGTCTCCATCAGTTCCTGGCAAGGACGGCGCCCCTCCAGTTCGTCGTCACCGCACCAAGTCCCGCTGCCGCCCTGCATTTGACCTTTAGCGCCGTCATTCAG